ACTCTTGTTATTTTTTATTTGCTAAATCTTGTATGAGATATAATTTAAGAATTAAATGAGAATAAAAATTGCTTTCAATACGTTTTTGGGCTTCCTGGGCGCCGGCGGAATTGCCGTTCGGTATTAGGCGGCACAAATTCGGTATTAGGAAATTCGAATTCGGTATTAGGCAGTTTCAAAATCTTTGGTATTGGTTGAAAAAAACACAATTTCTGGTAATAAATATTATTATTATTGACTTCAAACGCTGAAAATTAAATCTGGAAATATAAGCAATCATTTTAATAACAACAAATAAAGCTTACTTTATACCTATAAATATATTTTACAGATTAATTCATAACCTAACCTTAACCGTTCGGTATTTGGTATGTTTACCTTAGCCTATATCTTCATCAGAACTAGGCCTATCTTTCATCAACATGTCCAAAATAAATGAGTCATCGCACAATCGCGGGCGCTTCGGTACACTCATGACGGTTGCACTCGCGCGGGGGACACTTTTTACCCAGTCGACTATTGAGCGATATAACACGGGCCACCAACCGGTTCGACGCGCGAACGCACACGCACACATAACTTAGTAGGATCTTTTGTTTGTAACGAAAAGCTACTGAAGGTCACGCCTCTCCCCCCCACCCAGCGGCTGAGCTGTGCCCTAAACAAAAGCGACAACTGTCACCCGCACGAGTGTTGCAGGGTTAACCTAACCAAACGATATATCGAACGGAACAATCGAACAAAAAATCTTTAATAGCCTATTTTCATTCGGTTGTTTTTGACAACAGATAAGATATGAAAGGAAGTCTACCCAGTTCAGAAATACTAAATCAAAAGTCAATACAAATATTTGTGCCCCTTGACGATTTGCCCAATGAACTGAAACCAAGGCTTTATCCAATTCTGGCCTACTCCCAAGGTCTGGAAAATGTTGAAGGCCTAGGACAGAAAATGTATTTAAAACTTAGGCCTTGTTTCTACTTACCACATCATGCTACAAACCTACATAGAATAACTTATTATATATGCAAGCATCATCATAAGTTTGTCTTGTGTAAACAGAAATAATACCAGTTAAATAATCGGACGCCGCAAGTCACCACCCCGGATGTTCTCATCAAGAACCAAACAAAACTACAAAATATGGATAAATATCTCTTAAATCTTACTTGAACCTCTGTATTTATATAAAAGCGATGATCATACCTCAATTAATTGGCTAATAGATGAATTAAAGAGTCAACATAATATTTGTTAAAGCTATTTTCAATGATCAACACGATGACGACAGTCGTTGGTTGAAGTTGAAAGAATTACCGGCCATCTTGTTCTTCCTTCTGTTCTGTACAGTACTTCAGTTAGTCTTCTCTTCTCCTTCTCTCGTTTCTCGTCTCGGACACCGGGACACCACACAAGAACGAGAGAAAACGAGAAAGACGGACGCGAACGGGGTCGAGTTCCCGCAAGTCTCAAAGGACGTTCCACGACGTATGCTCGACGTCACGATTTCATGAGTTCACACTTTCAAGTTCCATTCCTTGTCCATTTTAGTGGTTCTGGTTAATAGTCGGGGGGCAAACTGTATTCCGTGGGATTTTTTGTGAAGGGAATGTGTGACTATGTGGAATCTCTTTATTATATGTCACATAATGGTGTAGTACCGGGTGTTTACCCTCAAATTGCGGGGTTTGGTTTTTATGACGTCTTAAATCCAAGATGGCCGCCATGTGTGACATCTATTGATTAAATTAATAATAACTCTTGCCAGAGTAAGAAAATCGAATTTTAATTTATACCATTGAATTCAGCTCAAAAAATCAAACAATTTGGTGTTTTGAATCATTGCTCTATGACCATTGGTTACCGAGATATTGAATGCGGAAAACACAGAACATTGTCCCCAAGCAAGACCCCCCTACCCCCATGTTATCCTTATGGGGAAAAAATAAAATTGTATATCTAACTTATTACTCAGCATATCTTAATAATAATTGGTATGTGGCTTCATTTAGAAGAGATCTACTTTATTATGGCCTAAAATCCCCCATTTTTACATTTGCGTGGCAGCAAACCTGCATACTCACTTCCCATGTTATTTTATTCTTATGGAAAATTTTTGCATGCTTGTTTATGAACCTTTCGTGTTGAGAGATGTTAATGTGTGGCCCCATTTTAATTAAAGCACTTGCAATTCGTTGAGTATACAGGTCTGCTGCTACGGGGGTATTGTATCTATAAACAAATCACAGGTATAAAATAGGTAGAAAATAAAATAAATTTAGACTATAGTTGTTAGGCATATGTAATTTTGTAGGATTTTGAATTAAGCAATTGTATGATTGTTGGCAATAGATAGGTAATGACATGTCTGAAAGTGTGGCCAAGCTGATGTTTTCGGCCGCCATCTTGGATCCGCCATATTGGATATTAATAACTTTTTTTATGCAATGCTAGAAGTGTTGTGACACATCATTATGAACTAGATTTTCACGCTGATTTCAATGCTGAAGTATGTTTTTAAATATCTTTTTTCGTTTGGAAGAGATATTCAAATAAAAACTCTCCTTTATATATTTCTTACGGACGTTTCGTAAGGTCATCAGTGTTACAATTTTCAGACGTGGAACCTCTTATATGCCTTATATGTCTTATATGCCTCATCACACATAATTTACTTTGTACTTACACCAAACAAATGTTGTAACCCTGATGACCAGCCCTGTATGTCTTTAATTGCTTTAACCAAAGACAAATTTCAAAATAAATATAATCATTAATGTTAAATAAAGGTCAATGATTAATTTTCAATTAGTCAGATTTCATTAAGTGATTAATAAAATTTTTAACCAAACATTTACTGAGTAATTTGAGGCTAGAATGAACCCTTTGACGTATTAGCAACCCGATATGTAAATCTTTTAATAAAAACTGATTTGGAAAAAGTTAAATTTAATATTGTGTTGTGGTTCATAGCTCAACTCTCACTCATCCAATTTTAATGATCGATAGCTTAAATAAAAGCTCTTACATCACAGAATACTTCAAGACTAGAACGAATTACAAGCGATAATAAGAACTGGATATATGAGAAAAATAATCTGAAAAATAATCAAAGTACGAAACGCCCGTAAGAAATATATGGGGGGAGTTTTCATTTCAATATATCTTCGAAACGAAAAACGATATTTACAAACGGTTTTCGGAATTGAAATTAGCGTAAACATCTAGTTTATAATAATGAGTCACAACACCAGCATTATATTTAAAAATTTGTATTAATATCCAATATGGTGGATCCAAGACGGCGGGCCAAAAATAGTGTTTTTGGCCCGCCGTGGCCGCTAGGCCACACTTTCAGACAAAACACCCGGTAGTACACGATTCTATATGTCATTACCTATCTATCACCACCAATCATACAATTGCTTAATACAAAATCACAAGAAATTACATATGACCCAGAACTATAGTCTATTTTACTTTATTTTATACCTATCATTTGTGAGATTTTTTTATTGCTACAATACGCCCGTAACAGCAGACCTGTATACTCAACGAATTGCAAATGCTTCAATAAATAATTAAAATGGAGCCACACATCATCATTTCTCAAAGTATGTTCATGGACAAGTATGCAAAAATATTGACCTTAAGAATACCATGGGAAGTGAGTATGCAGGTTTGCTGCAACGGGAATGTAAAAATGGGGGATTTTAGGCCATAATCAAGTAGATCTCTACTAAATGAAGCCATATGCCAATTATCATTAAGATATGCTGAGTAATAAGCTAGATATACAATTTTATTTTTTCCCCATAAGGATAACATGGGGGTAGTGGGTCTTGCTTGGGGACAATGTTCTGTGTTTTCCGCCTTCAATATCTCGGTAACCAATGGTCATAGAGCAATGATTCAAAACACCAAATTGTTTGATTTTTTGAGCTGAATTCAATGGTATAAATTAAAATTCGATTATTTTACTCTGGAAAGAGTAATTATCAATTTAATGAATAGATGTCACACATGGCGGCCATCTTGGATTTAAGACGTCATAAAAACCAAACCCCGCAATTTGAGGGTAAACACCCGGTACTACACCATTATGTGACATATAATAAAGAGATTCCACATAGTCACACATTCCCTTCACAAAAAATCCCACGGAAGCTGGATATGTGCAGTTTGCTCCTGGACTATAATAGCTTCAAAGCTTCTTAGAAAGGATATGGATACGCTACTGGACACAAGCAAGCAACGAGCACATAATATAGCAAGTGGCGCAAGTGCAAGTTGGCAGTTTCAAAGTTGCAAGGTGGACGGTAGACGGTATTTTGTTAATCATTACAGTACAGTAGTACCATTTAGTACGTAATGAAGCCCCATTTGCTTTAGTTAATTTTTTTTTTACATAACCTGAGATGGAAGTATGAAGAAATTTAGCTTAATTTTTAAAGGGGGGGGAATCTGGTTGAATTGATGCTTTAAATTATGTAAATATAAACTTAAGTTATAAATAAAATAAAATAAAATAAATACACTACTGTAGTACCTTACCCACCTTACAAAACAACTGGAGTAGTCAAACTCAACAAGTGCTACCATAGATAAAACATACGTTGGTTAGTCTATGGTACTACTAAACAAAATATTATTATAAAATAATTTTGAGTACACTTTTTACAACGTAATTAAATTATAAATTATATCATATGTTATGGGAAACCATAAGACATCGGTCAAAGAAAAAGCTACGCGAGTAATGTCCACGATTACGATTCCCAAGATAAAAGCTTTATAGTGCTATATACCCATTGACTACTCACAGTGTTTATAACCAATGGTCCATTTTAGTCTCATCGTCTCATGTATCAACACGGCCACATTTACTGTGAACTGTGACCATTATAATAAAAAAAAGTACAAACAACCTTGGTTCGCGCCTGGCTCTCAGCTGTGCGTGTTTCTTTGAATCTGGGCAAAATTGGCAAGTGAAGTGAGACAAGAAGAAGACAAAAGACAAAATTACTACAATACCTAAAAGTGACTAATTACTATAGTGTTTTATAATGTTTTAAATTGCATGGTAAGCTAGAGTTATTCTCTTATCATTAAATATTGCTATATTATTTTTAAAAACTAAGTATATTTGACATTTTAGTCGGTAAGTATTGTAAAACAATTTTTATCAGACTGCAATGAGTTAAAAATAACTTCTACAATTTTGGGACTATAAACTTCGGAGCTCAAGTAATATTCAGGATCTAGATTAGTAGGTATAGTTACTATTATTTAAGTTGTACACTTTTCCCTGAGGTTTAAATCATTTTACATGAAATTTCAGAATCAATAGGCTCTACACTCATTCTAATCTATGGTATCAGGCCAGGCCAAATAATTTTAAAATACATCCTTTCTGTGGATTAGGTATTTAACTTAAGTTACCGGTTTTAAGTCTAGACCTAAATAGGCTAGGCCTAAGTATTTGATTTGCTTACAAAACCTCAATTTTATAGGTCTAAGTTATTTAGGTTCAAAAGACAAAAAAAAAAAAAAAACATTTAAACTTTTCCCTTATCTATTTTTGTAAGTTATATATATTAGTTACACAGAGGATACGCGTCCGGTAACCGGACTTGGATTAGGCGTCCGGCAGTGACGTCACCGGGTTGTGGGGGCCCGGAACGCCATTACCACAACGATACGATGTAAACTTAAAGCCATCGGTGTTTGTGGTCTAGTGGATAGAGTGCTTGGCTGATACATTATGCAAGAGGTCCCTGGTTCGAATCCCATCGGTAACTTTTACTTTTTGTCAAAGATTTTGCTTTTCATGCCGGTAAGTTATTTATTCCGTATTATAGGTGCCTCCAAACGAATTTTCAATTTTGATATCTTACTTTATACTTAGTTTTTTTACCTCCTGAATCTAAATATACCATTTTTTTTCACCGCTGATGAATATTTCTCAAGATATCGCCCTACGGTAATAAAATACAACATTAGGCCTACTTACAATTTAATAAACAATGTAGGATGGATGACATTTACAAGTGGGATGAACTACGCCCATGGGTTAAGTAAGCCAACCGCTGATTGTTTTCAATCATAGCCAAGCAAATCAGCAAAAGGAAGTGACAACTTTATTAGCTAACACTGATTCTGCAATATGGAAATCACGTGATTAAGTTACACTTTTCACTTTCTAAGACCAATAGTTAACACATTTAAAAAAATGTATTATTTTTACCAGTATTTTATTCTTATTAATGATTTATATTTCGCCGTTTGGAAATTACATAATAAAATGGCGCTATTCTAACATAATCTAACCAAACCAAACCTCTAGAATGTAAGGATCTCTCTCCTGTTGATGTCAGAAAAAGCATGTAAGGGCGGTAGGTCTTGATTTATGTGAATTGGTGACTGCATTAAGTCCTTTGAAGGTAGGTTAGATTAGGTAAGTTAAAGTTTAGGTTATAATGTATCGATTTGTTAGTTTAAATGTCGCCGGCAGACCGTTTTGGTAAAAATTAAAATCCTGAGAAAAACACTTCAAATTACTAATTTCAAAAATGCAAGCAAAAAAACTTCTAGGCAATAAGTTAGGGACAACATCTTTGATGATTTCACATCCAGGGTTTGTCGCGATCGTCTCCAGTGATTTGTTCAAATCCTTTGACTATTTTTTGGGATCTCGGAGTAGTCCCTGACAATTCCCCGTGAGCGTGGCAACGCCAGAGTTGCAGTAACGTTGTAAGTATCTTACACGATTGCGGCTACATCCACCATTATCTCAATACTGGTGAAAATTATTTGCGATCGCGGCCATTATCTAGGATCATATTTCAATCACGGCAAAATTCGTGATGGTTTCCCGTGATCGCGGCAACGGCTGTCATGATTTCTTGCGATTGCGGCAACTTTCGGTAGGCCTATTCGTAACAGTTTCCCACGATTGTAATTTTCAACTACGCAAAACAAGAAAGACCATTAGGTAAGTGCCTAATTTTTGAACTTAAAAAATTAGAAAAACTAGGGCCTACTGTGCAGGGGGGGGGGCCCTCGTCCCGTCCGCCCATAGGTAAGTTCGCCCCTGGTTAGGTCTGGAACATTAAAACAACGTAAATCTATACTATGTCTCGGCCTAATCAATTATTTATTGGCTTAATGGTTCCATAATATTTATCAGGCTTAATTAAATGATTATGACTTATCTACTTAATTCACACATTAAAAGGCCTAAAATAACTTACAGTAGGTACTGAAATTTAAATTTATACGTTTTCAATTTTTTCAGTTTGTAAAAGCATGAGTGGCTGGCAGGGTCCACCAGTTTTGGTCGGTGAACGAACATTGTGGTTAGGAAGTGGTAGTGGACTTCCTAAACCTGGAGTTGTCCGATGGATTGGTCAGCTTCCAGAAATCGGACCGGATTGGACAGTTGGTCTGGAGCTGGTAAGTTAAATCTATAAAATGCGTAAATATTTAAAGAAATAAAATTGCAATCCATATTTCACGCCCTGAGCTTGGTTTAATAACTATATCAAAATATTACCTTTGTCAACCAGCTTCTGTAGTGTAACAAATGTTACGGTCGTTTCTGCATCACTGTGCCATCATAAGACGTTCAGCCATAAGGTGTCGTTATAACACAAAACATAAATATCACATAAAACACACACATAGGCTAGTCAAAAAGGGTAATAATAATAAAAAAAAAAAAAAAAAACAGGCCTGTTGAGGAACGTACATTTCCGCACTTGAGCAAGTAGCTGACTAGAAGATTCATCCTTGCATTGTTGTGTCGTAGGTGGCGTTATCAGCTGTACTTGGCCCCCTTGGTCTTGGTTCCCTCCTATGATTTAAAATACTATTGAAAATGAAGTGTGATTTGAATTGTAATTTATTTTATACTAGCAGAGTACCCGTCCTTCGTACGGGGTTGGCATATTAGTATAAAACTAGTGTACATGTTGCTCGAAATCGAGCAATTTCAAATAAGTACATGAGTCGAGGAGTTACAAATAAACAAATGACTTGTTTAATTACTAATAACAGTCATAATTTCCGATGACTTTAAAAGAGTCAACTAAAATATTATTAACTGATAAAAATACTCACAATTTACATAACAATCCTATTCCAGTTTAAAGGGTTAATGTTTAACTATCAAACTGTCCATGGACGGGAAAAGGTAAGCTTACAATTTAACTCAAAGTAAAAAGGCTGTCAGATTTTATAATGTACCGTACCTAAGTTATGTAGCCAATTTGTAGGTGTAGGGTGTAGGCTACTTTTAACTCTACAGAACAGAGTTAGGCAAAAACTGGCAGAACTCTGAAATGGAGTTATTTATCATAGGCATACTTACATGCCAAATCCTTAAAATAAAAATGCAATGATTAATAACTTATATCATTAAACACAAACCAACATCCTAAACTATACACATTTTTAATACAACATAGATAATTTACACATTGACTGTTTACAATTAACAACATGTGTTATTCTTCAGGCATTTGACAGTTCTGGTTGTATACATTTAAATGTCAAAGCAAATGTAATATTTAATTTCTGACAACAGCTGGAGTTTCAAAACAATGTTTGTTTCCCATGTTAATCTTATGGAGAAATATGAAACTTTAAAGGGCCCCAGGGCCTCACCCTCTAATTATTTCCCTAAAAAGAAAGTTTCCTGCACAACTTCACGTTACGCTCTTTCCAATGACACCAAAAACATGTCAATCGGTTCAGTAGTTTCGGAGGAGTAATTGTCACAAAAATCCTGCTTGCGTATTAAATAAGTATAGATGCTCATTGCAGTTATACTCATGCTTTGTCTTTTTGAAATGAGGGAGGCCACGGTTTGAGAAAATTTGGTTCTTTTAATTTATGGTATAACACATCTACCACAGCCATAATAATGGTCTACAACTGCACCTAAACAACAGAAAAAAGTACACTACCAAATATTTGCACAATATCACAAATTAGTTATAAATCAAAAACATGTCACAATGGGATAGAGTATGTCTATATGTCAATCGGGAACGTAAGCTATCATCATACCAAATTTCAGCTCAATCCGTTCAGCGGTAGTTAATGCGTGATTGAACTTCAAACTAACAAGCACACAAACTTTCATATTTATAATGTTAGTAAGAAGTAAGATAAGATTCTTGAGTGTCGCAGATTGCGTGAAAATAAAATAATATATTTGGTTCTTACCATCCACGCAATCAGGGGCTATACTGCACTACGGCCGTTTCGGAGATAACTCCATCGTCAGGTGCGTAGTGGTACACTAAACTATGGTCTTGTTACACTTAATACAAAAAGTCTTCATTTGCATTGCATCAGGGGTTGAATAAATATTAAACACATAAAAATAGGATGGATACATGAATATACTAAAACACTTAAAGCACGTGCACAGCTAAAAACTGACGACCGACTGTTCAATCCTGGTCACTGCAGGAGTTACAATGATGACTGGAACAGCTGATAACACGGAGTACCAACCTATCTTCTCAAATTATTTCTTTTCTGTTTGATTTCTATAATTTTCTCAAAAATTGGATTGGCTGCTGAATTTGTGTGGGAGTTGATTATACCAAGTTTGAGTTATCTCCGAAACGGCCGTAGTGTAGTATAGCCCCTGATTCATGGTGTCTACTCTCCGGGAAATTCGGGAAAACCGGGAAACCTCCGGGAATTTTATCTTACCTTGAAATGTCCTGGAAAACTCCAGGAATCCACCCAAACCTCCGGGAATCCGTAGCCCAGTCATCGGAATCGTCGCCTAACCGAAACACTACCGCTTTTGTTGCCACGATCGCGGGAAACGATTATCGGTGTTGCCGAAACCGCAAGATATGCTCACGGGTATTGCCGCGATCGCGAGTGACGATTATCGGTGTCGCCGAAACCACGTGAGATTCCTACGGGTGTTGCCGCGATCGCGGGAAACGATTATCGGTGTTGCTAAAACCGCAAGATATGCTCACGGGTATTGCCGCGATCGCGGGAGACGATTATCGGTATTGCCGAAACCGCAAGATATGCTCACAAGTATTGCCGCGATCGCGAGAGATGATTATCGGTGTCGCCGAAAGTGCGAGATATGCCTACGGGAGTTGCCGCGATCGCGGGAAACGATTATCGGTGTTGCTAAAACCACAAGATATGCTCACGAGTATTGCCACGATTGCGAGAGACGATTATCGGTGTCGACGAAACCACGTGAGATGCCTACGGGTGTTGCCGCGATCGCGGGAAACGATTATCGGTGTTGCCGAAACCGCAAGATATGCTCACGCGGGTATTGCCGCGATCGCGAGAGACGATTATCAGTGTCGCCGAAACCACGTGAGATGCCTACGGGCGTTGCCGTGATCGCGGGAGACGATTATCGGTGTCGCCAAAACCGCAAGATATGCTCACGGATATTGCCGCGATCGCGAGAGACGATTATCGGTGTCGCCGAAACCACGTGAGATGCCTACGGGTGTTGCCGCGATCGCGGGAAACGATTATCGGTGTTGCTAAAACCGCAAGATATGCTCACGGGTATTGCCGCGATCGCGGGAGACGATTATCGGTATTGCCGAAACCGCAAGATATGCTCACAAGTATTGCCGCGATCGCGAGAGATGATTATCGGTGTCGCCGAAAGTGCGAGATATGCCCACGGGTGTTGCCGCGATCACGGGTTGACGATTATCGGTGTCGCCGAACCCGCGAGATTTCCTCACGGCTATTGCCGCGATCGCGGTAGACGATTATCGGTGTTGCCGAAACCGCAAGATATGCCTACGGGTATTGCCGCAATCGCGAGAGACGGTTATCGGTGTCGCCCAAACCGCAAAATATGCATACGGGTGTTGCCGTGATCGTTGACGGTGTGACGTTTTGTCGCTGGTGTTGAAGATACTGCAAGATATGCTCACTGATATTCCCACAATCGCGGGAGATGATAACTGGTGTCGCCTTACCTACCAGTTATATTGTTTTATTATGTTGTATAAAATATTATTCTTTGGAAATGTTTTGTTTCAAATAATAATAATCATTATTATTAATAATAATAATAGCCTAATAATAATCATTTTCATTTATTAGCGGGTTGCGATTAGTTAAACGGGTTCCGATAGTAGCTCCTTAAAATTCAGGAATTTGTCTTGAATTCTCCTGGAAAACTCCTTGAATTTTTCAAACCAGGTTTAGTAGACACCATGTGATTGCATAGAGGGTACGAACCAATATATTATTGTATTTTATTGTTTGAAATCAGTTCCTCAAATTCTTCCAGGGTATCTAATTTGTTGCCTCTTGTACAGGTGTGAAGGATTTCCAAGCCAGTGTCAAGGTTATTTAGGACGTGATTTTCATCTATCAGGTGTTGAGCAAACGTTGATTTTTGTTTGTCGTTTTTTGGGTTAGGATGATGCTCGGATGCTGCTGTTTTGAAAGTACACCCCGTTTTTCCTACATAAACTCGAGGACAACAACTAGCACATTTTATTTTCCTGTATTTTAAAAACCCGTTTTGACTATGTGTGTGTTTCGAAGAATAGGCTATGTCCTCTCAAAAATTTCGTAAAATTTTAGGACTCATCCGTTCCTCGTTAAAACACTTACAGTAGGCTATATTTAATGATCAACTTTCCACCCTTAATGTAGCGGCGACCTTGGCGGGTGCCTGTCTCACAATTTCCTAGTTACGGTCCTGTTGACAAGCAACGATTTATTTTTATCTACATATTAAAAACAGGGAGAAAACTTCAGTTTTTTAGTCTCTAAGGCACATTAATATGATTTAGTGTAATTTTTGTAACTTGCTCGTATTGACATGCTTTGCTTTGAACGATGGCCAATTACGAATTCCCTGGATTTTCACTATAAGTGGTGCTCTACCGATGTAAGTAAACATCTGAAGGAGAAAACATACATTTATTTCCCGCGAGTCAGGGTTGAGCTAGGCCAACACTGTACTGTTAGTGAGTGGTTCTTTTGTTAAGTTGTATTTTGGAGGCCTAAAATACTTAGTGTATGGTACTGCACCCTATGAGTTATGGTACCTTTTGTTCTAGGATGAAGCTTTACCGTTTGGAGGGATTGATGGATCATGGAAAGGCAGAGTTCTCTTTGTTTGCCAACCAAAGCATGGGCTGCTTGTTCCTATCTCTAATATCATTCCTGGTTCAAAATTGAAGCATATACCTAATATTTCTGGTAAGCTACATCATTTGTATTACATTACGCCCAGGCTATGTTACATATTAAAATGGCATAAAATTACCTGATTCCGTCTGTGATCCTAAATTTGTTGTAGTGAGCAACTGGTTTCATGGTTATAACATCATCAGGCTCTTGTTGTCACTCTTGCCAGATCGTCAGTTTTTAAGAACACACAAAGACATTAACACTTAAATAAATAAAACACGAAACACACTGGCAGGGGATTAACATAAATTTATGTTACCATTTTACCATTTACCATTTAAATATTCAAGAAGTGATTATGGACCAAAAACATCAATATGATATGTTACATAGCCTAATGGGCATTCTTTGTTTCATCACTAGGCCCTATATCACATTTTTTAAATGGATCTAAATCAAATAAATGAAATAGTTATTGCTGACTTATTTCAGTAGAGTTGTGTTTTGAGTTGATGCCCCTCGTTAAATATTATTTCAAAATTAATCTTGAGAAATTTAAACTCTGTAACAGATTTTTTTTTAATTTTTAAAACATAACTGTACACCATGTTGCCCTAATTAAAATGTATACAAGGTATCTATTAGAGCAATTAAATAAGTTAGTTGAACTGAAGAATGAAATAGGCAATCTCTTAACATGATTTGACATCTTTTTACCTAATAATTTTATGCCAGCTTAAACCATGATGTTTAGTTAACTCATTAAGGTTATTACGGTAATGCTTGATTAAGTGGTTACCAGGAGTAGTTAAACACAATTTTAGGTTTTGATCTGACATGGGAAAATTAATTATGTCTCTTGATTTAATTGCCTTTCTCTTCATCACTCAAATTGGCTGAATCTATTATTGTTAATTTACACATGTCTTTTTTTGCACCACATTTAAGTCTCAAGACTCTTGGATATGTTGTGGCGAACCCTAAACATTTCCAAAACCCAATGTCTCTTAGTTGTAATGTATTGGCAGGGGATTGTATCTTTGTCAGACGGCGAGGCATATAGTGCAGTTACAGGAAAGTTCAACTGCTAAGTAGAAGTCAGCGCCAAGCTAGCAACAAGATGATGTGTTTCCAACAATTATTTGTTTTTTTTTTTTTTTTTTTTTTGCTATTGCAACTGATTTAGATCAGTGATGAGATTTCACAGTCAAGCCATTGCTTGTTCGTAAATTAAGATCTCAAACGAGGTCTTTCCGCAATTTAGTAAGGCTAGATAAAATCTTAATGCTATGTCTGTGTTCTTTATTTCCCCTCTACCATTTTGGCTACACCACTATGCAGAATGAATCGTGGTCTTTAATCACATTTTTGTAGATTAAGAAGCATTAAAGTAGGCTTTTTATAAAATGGTTTTAAAATGGCACAAAAATCCATCGTCAGTGTAAACAGATTTCTACAATCATCTGCATCTGTCAACAGACGATATATTTCAATATTGCATTGCTAAGATATGTTTAGTTTAGTTTAACCAATGAGTATAGATTTTTCCTACAGTTACCTAACAATGTACATGTCCTCTCACTGATTTGAGAAAGCAAAGTGGCCAATTCGCTCATTAGTGAGACAACAGACAATGTAAACATTGTCTCACTTCAGATTTGCAACGTGAAGGCACGAAATAGTGAGCGCGTAACATGCAGACAAGTTCGTACGCGCGCGAAATACGTTGGCAGCACTGGCCGTAAATCAGCTGGTCAGCTGTTGTATTTGTCATCACATTAAATGTCATATTAAAAGTTCACTTCTGTGTAAAAATATGTTACGTTTCTTTACCAATTTTTTTGTTTTATGGGAACTGTAGGAAAAATATAATGTGCAACTCGAGTGCAAAGTGCAATTGCCTCACTCGAGAAACCATTCCCAGTAAGGATTTCTCTCGAGTGAGGCAATTGCTCACTTTGCTCACTAGTTGCACAAATAACTATTGTATTCATTGGTTTAACTTATCAATTCAAGCTTGCTTTAGCTTTTATCATAAGCCATTAGCCACTAAAATATAATACCCACAAAAATACCCACAATGACTGAAATAGGTACCCACAAAGTGGATAATTACCCACCAATTCAAAACCCTGTTTTCCAGTCAAGGTATCAACCACAAATAATCAAAGTTTAATCACATAACACAATTCTTACTTGGCAACAGCGTCGATTTTCCCTTTTATTAATACTGTAAACATAGAGGTAGAAACTGGCCAGAATAGTGATGGAGGAAGTCAAGAACAAGGAACTAGTGATAGATTTGAAGTACCTTCCTTTGTGAGCTCATTGATATTACGTTTATAAGAAATTCCTATTTATGAGTCTTGAATGTCTCCCGCGGCAAGGCAAAAACGTGAGCATCTTCAGCACCACCAGTGAAATCGTGATTGTCTCTTTTGTTGATAAGACAATCGTCTTCATCGATCACAAAAAAAGTCTTCTGTTAAGGCACAGGAATTGGGAACGTCTGCTACGGTCGTAATAATATCATAAACTTTTTCTGCGGTCACAAATCGTAAATGTTTCGATAAACCTTGTCTGTGGTTTCAGCAAAATCTTGATCTTCTCCTTCAACCTCTGCAGAATCGTGAACATATTCTGTATCCATAGAAAAATCCTGAATATCTTCTGTAGTAACAGAGGAATCACCAACACCTCCCAAGGTCGTCGTAAAATCTTGAGTGTCTCCTGAGGTTCCGACGCAATAGTGATCGTCTCCTTTGATTGAGAATGTTTGAAACCATCCTTGTCTGCTGCAATCGCAGTGAATTTGACTATTTTCAACAGCGCAATTTTTGCAGACGCTTACTGCAAAGGCAAGTGAATATAAGCCTGTCTCAAGAGAAAAAGTTATCTGACCTGCTTGGTCCGAAAGTGATTTATGGCTTGAACCGATGTCTTGGTACCCAGCCTGACCCACAAATTTTGACAACCTGCAGACCCTTTCGGCAAGTCCCCCCCTCTGAAATTTTTTGGTGTGGCCCTTGACTCAGGCAAAGATAGAGGTCGGTATGTTTGTTTCACGAGGGTCCTTGATCCCATTAATTAATTTAAGTTTGATCATTTCTGAGTTTGTGTTTATACTGTCACAATTAAACAGTAATTACTTTGATGAGAAGTTCTGTGGTTCGGATGAATACACAGAAATGCATGAACGATTTACATACCTCAACAAATAGACTTTTTGATAGTGCTTCTGTTGGTCCTGTTTGATACATAGCACGTTCTACTAAATGGATAACAATTAAATAACATTCAAACTATTAAAACATTTCTCAATAGACTATAGAATCTTAGGTAGACATTTTACCAGGATTTTTTCGTAGTTGAAAAAACCCAACATTGTTTGAATTTGTTGTTGAATAAGTACTAATCACAAATTTAAACTACTTTTAACTTTTTCAATTCTTAGTTTAGCTTAATTAAAATATAATTATTCTTAGTAATATATTGTAAATTGTATATATAGTAAAAATTGTTAACCGACAATCACTCTTACACATACATATAAAGTTAGTAATTTAGCGACTATTTTTAGCTTCACTAGACCATTGGATTTTTACTTTTATACTCAAAAACATCAACTGTCCTTCACTCCTCTTATTTTTTTAAAATCCTGAAACATTTCAATCAGCTGAGGTATACTGTATAACCGGAAAGATAGAAAGATTTGACATGAGAAACCAACTGAGATGTAAAATACAGAAACATAAACTTGAGACGATTGGTTGATTGGTGAGATTTATAAATATTACGTTGGACTTCCTGAGTTGTCGGTTCTAAATTAACAGAGACTGCAGGCCGGCTTTGGCTCTGTGCCATGAAGCCAGACTGTGATCACAACGGTCAACACCGTCTGACAAACACAGTAATTTGAATTGGTAACAATAATTTTACTGTTCGAAAAGCATATTTATGTAAATTAAATCAAATCAAACTTTATTGTCACAATAACGTTTCTAGATAGCATGGCTATAAAACAGTGGACATTGTCAAATTATAGTAGCCTAAATAAATAAATTTTGATAAATACATTGTTGGTAAATCTTACATTTTATAATTAAAAATAAAATGCTGACTTATTTTAGAAGTATTTTACAATAAACATTCATTAATATGGTAGTTTTTTTCTATTGAAAATGTTGACAAATTCCTTTTAAATCTAATTGTACTTTCTATATTTTGTAAACCTACTGCTACTGGTAACTACTTTTTACCCATGAATGTTGGTGTCTTTTCAATGAGACGCAGACTGGATTGGTCACTGAAAACTATTTTTAAACCTTGTGTTATATCTGTGGTAAAAATTGTCATGTAAAAATTTTCTTAGTTAATACACTTTAGTTAGATATATTTTATTGTAAAGCTTGTGAAGACTTGACCACTGGTAAAAAAGCTGTTTTAGATTGTGTTTAAAATTAATTTTACATGAAATCTCATTGTAATTGTACAATATTTCTAAGAATTTATTTAGATTTAGATTTTATTTTGTCTTAGATCAGATGCATCGGAAGTGAATAAATTAATACACGCATAAATGAAAGAATGAATAAACGAATAATAGATGAATGGATAAATAAATAAATGAAAAGTGATATTAGTAAATTATTATTTAACACAATAATTGAGCAAATATTATCAAAGGATTAGTAATTTATTTAAGCTAGAAGTACGCATATTCCTCCAGTAAGAAGATGTAAGATTGAATGTTTGTAGTCATAAAAAGCTACCTTAGTTTCGTTGATACAAATTTACTTTTTTAAAGTAAGGATTTAAGCATTATTTAAGTTTAAATATCATATGGCTTAGCTATATGGCTTAGCTATAACTAAAATTGCATAACATTTCAATATTTTTTTGTCAATAAGGGAGGGTATTTTTTTTATTTAGATATTTTATATGCTAACAATGATTTTTCTCAACTCTAGAAAATGGGAGTATATTTTTCCAAAGTGTATTTATTCAACTATAATCTCTACTTAATAAAAATTAATTAAAAAAAATACATTAAAATTTAGTAGTAAAAT